TCGAGTAGCACCCGAATCAAACAATACCTGAACTGGGATACCGTTCATATGGAACGATCCTAAACAGAGCACATACATAACATATCAAAATCACAGCGACATAAAACAAAATCATAAGAAAGGAATCGTACCCGTCACCACATCGGGTGCAGCGCGTGCCTCCTCGGCTGTCAACTGAAACGCTTGGCTCCGCACCACTAGAGCCTCTACCTTGGCCTTCCGGCCATCCGGAACCTGCGCTGTCACTGGAGTCGGCGCCGCCACTGGCGTTGCTGCTGTCGCTGCTGTCAATCTAGGGCAGTTGGCCTTCTTATGGCCCCTCTGATTGAAATGGAAGGAAATCAGGTCTGACATCTGCACTGTGGGGGCGGGGGCAGTACAATCTCTGCCAAAGTACCCCGTCTTGTCGCACTTGTAGCAGCCGGTCGATCCCGCTCTACAAGCTCCCTCATGCGGCCTGCCGCATTTACTGCAGCGGCTCTGGCCTGGCTGGCCCTTTGACCTAACGTCGGATCCCTTGGGTTTCTTCCCCGAAACCCTTGTCACCTGCTCAGTCTCTGCTTTCCTCTTCCTGACGTGCTCCAAATCGAGCTCCTTCTCCCGCGCCCTGGCAATCATAGACTCCAGGGTCGGGCACGCTGAATAGCTGACATGCTCCCGAATATCAGCCCTCAACATATCATGGTAGCGGGTCGTCCACATCTCCTCATCCCACGCATACTGGGGTACCAACAGGGCCCTCTCCCTGAACTTGGCGGTGATCTCCGCCACTGACTCAGTCGTCTGCCTCATGTCCAAAAACTTCCTGGCCAGCTGCGGAAGCTCCACAGCCGGCACAAACTCAACCCTGAATCTGGTCACGAAATCTGACCACGAAATAGCCTCCACGGCTGGGGCTCCCTGCGAGTCACCGAATGACTCCCACCTGTCCCTAGCTCTATCCCTCAAATATCCCGCAGCAAAGCAGACCTTCGACCCTTCCGGGCAGAAGCTCGTTAACTGCGCAGACTCAATGTCTGCGATCCACCTCCTGGCAGCAATGGGGTCCTTCATCCCGTGAAAGTCCGGCGCACCACTCCCTCTGAAGTCCTTGAAGGATAGTGTGCGCGTACCCGCTTGGCCTGACGCCAAATCACTCCTGAATGATCGGAGGCAATCCTCCATCAGCTCGATAATCCCCTCCTTGATCGACCCGAAAATTACCGGGGTCGACTCAAGGATACCTCTCGTGATCTCAGACGCGATGAACTCGCGTAGCCCGTTGTCAACCTGTTCGGATCCTGCACCCGAGCCCGATCCTGATCCTAATCCAGAACCTCCTGCTCCATGTCGTGTAACCACCATACTGAAAATAACACGCAATCGTCAGGATCATACATACTCCCGAGAGGTTTCACACACTTTCCAAGTTTCCTGGTTCCATCTCGGCCCTCCCTGACTCGAGTACGGATCCTCTGTTTCCAGTAGTACGGGCCCATACTACCTTCCACATCTATCCGTACTTTCCTCAAGGATTGCCTCAACTTTGCCAAGTCCCTTAACCAATATCCCTTTCCAACTAATCTCATCCTAGGCTTTCCTAGGGCACTCTCTGACCTACTCTCTGCCATCAGCTGCACTAGGAGTCCCTACCACCCTTCCCTAACTAGCTTGCGGATACTGTTACATATCCGCTTACTAGTTAGTTAAAGTTAGCCAGGACCCCTATAGCACAAAGCAAGCAGCATGCGTGCATTGAGTAGCCACATCAAGCATAAACTAACCAGGCTATCCTACTACTGACTAGACAGTCCTAGCATACAACTCATACAAAAGGCAGTCAAGGAATCCTCCTAGATCCTTAGCCCTAGTCTAGCATGAAGTTCTCAGGATCATATATCACATGACATAACATAACAAGTATGGGTATCTTAGGGAAAACTTACTTGAGCTCGGCCGGTCGCACGCATCACACACCTTGTTCTTTCTCAAAACCCTTTGACTCAGTTTTTTTTGAAAACCATTTTCCTTGTAAAAATCCTTTAATCCCTCAGTTTGAGTCCGAACACCACCGGGGGTATGTCTGAATCCCTCAAACTAGGGCTCTGATACCAATTTGTAACATCCCAAATTTCAAGCCCAAAAATTTCATTTTTAATTAAGTAATTCACAACATAGTTTACCAAAACATTCTCACGCCATGTCATTTGTAAAAAGAAACTTAACAATGTGTCTGAAAATCATATCGTCAAACGTAAAATAAATAAGAGTACATTCCCAGAAAACTCCATGCGGAAACCATGTGTGTGTGATGCGCTGCGACACTGCCGACTCCTTCCCCTTAGACGAAGAGGTACGTGAAACCAAAACTAAATCTGTAAGCACAAAGCTTATTGAGTTCCCCCATCTTACCACATACCATACAAGCACGTAGCATACATACTGTCGGGCAATTCTGGGGCGCCCGCCCTACCAATGTCAAGCTATTCTGGGGTGCTGTCCTGCCCATGTCAAGCCATTCTGGGGTGCTGACCTACCCATGTCAAGCCATTCTGGGGTGCTGACCTACCCATGTCAGGCTGTTCTGGGGTGCCGTCCTACCCTCTGGTCTTTCAACCGAACACGGGGACTATTTCACCCCTAGTGCTAACACATAATATCATATTTCAATCATGCTGTCAGACATATCTGGGGTGTCCGACCTACCCGTTGGTCCTAACGACCGATTCTGGGACTAGTCCCCTTCTACTGATACTATCGCACGTAACATAGCAAACTAGCATAGTCACATATCAAGAAAACTAGCATACTCTCATATCAAGCAATAGCAGACCAGACAATTATCACAAAGACATTCATCTCATGTAAACAACTACTAGTGGGACGGCCTTGGTGCCTTAGACCCACTTCTACTGCAAGGTAACTCACCTCGATGTCGTGTAGTGTCAGAACTGTCCTCGGCGTGAAGGTCGGCTCTCCTCGACTCCTCAATCCCTACACGACAACCCTCAAGTCATCAAACAGAACATACAACCCTAACCAGGGTCAACTCAAGTCCAGTCAAAGTCAATATTGGACAAAGTCAACACCCAGTTGACTTGACTCGTCGAGTTGGTCTACCAACTCGTCGAGTCCATACTTCACTAACCCGATCCAACCCCGACTCTACTCGTCGAGTCTAGCAAGAACTCAATGGGTTCTCCTTCATTCAAACCATCCGGACCATGTTCATCCGACTCACCGAGTTCATCCTTGAACACGTCGAGTTCATCTCCCTCATAAGAATGTGTCCAGTCTATGACTCGCCGAGTTGTATGAACAACTCGTCGAGTCCATTTTCAAAGATTGGGAGATTGCCTTGGACTCGCCGAGTCTGTTCTAGCACTCGTCGAGTCCCATGATTTCCAGGTCCAAGGCAAACCCTTAGCAGGCTGAGCGTTCCTTCCACTCAACCAAAACCATTTCCAGAAGACATTTCTTGGGGAAAAAGCGTCTCGACTCGCCGAGTCGCCCAAGTGACTCGCCGAGTCCCTCCTTGTCTAATACTATACAGTCGATTTCAGTGGGACTTAATGCATCCAAAACATAGATCTGACCTCCTAGGGTCCCTTTCATACGTAAAGTCACGAACTTGGTGCACATGCATGGGAACAAAGTTGGCATAAAAGATGGCCTACAAGATGCATGGGGTGTTTATGGCAACAAAGTTGGCATATTTATGCTATAAATACCCCCAATGGCCCCCGATCTGAAGTCATAACTCCATATCACACTTCACAACCCGAAAATGGCTTAGAAAGCCCTAAATATACCAAGATCCAAGCCCTAGAGATGATTATTTACATGGAAGATCAAGATAGGAGCTTTTTACCTTAAATGAGTTGTAAATGGAACACAATCTATGGATTTCTAAGCTCTCACTTGAACTCTCAAGCTCCTTTGTTCTTCTCAAGCTTCACAAACCACCAAATGCACCAAAATGGCCTTAGATCACACAAAAACGGCTAGGGTTTCGATATACAGACTTAAGAGAGTGATATGGGCGCGGGAGGCTGAGATAAGATGTTTAAATAGGGTGCAAACCCTCAATTTAGGGCTTTACTCAAACAACACCTACTCGCCGAGTCAGTCTCCGACTCGTCGAGTAGGTCACTTAAACTTTCCGCGGATCCCGTCTCTACTCGACGAGTTGGGCCACCAACTCGTCGAGTCCCAGAGAAAATACATAAAATTCTTGAACTAAAGACATACCAGGGATCGGGTGTTACAAATCTCCCCCACTTATCTTAGATTTCGTCCTCGAAGTCTGCTGCTCGATCCTGAAAAAGCTCGGGGTAATGCTCCCTCATCTCGTCCTCCGGCTCCCAAGTCCATTCCGAGCCCTTTCGGTGCTGCCACTACACCTTTACCAGCTCCACTCTCTTGTTCCTCAGATCCTATGACTTCCTGTCAAGGATTGCCACTAGCCGCTCAATGTAGTTCAAGCTGTCATCAACCTGAATATCCTCCAAAGGCACCACCGTCGAATCGTCTACCAGGCATTTCCGCAACTGGGAGACATGAAATGCGCTATGTATCTAACTGAGCTCAGCTGGCAGATCCAGCCTATATGCCACCTTGCCCACCCGGGCTACAACCCTGAAGGGTCCAATATACCTAGGCCCAGCTTGCCCCTCTTCCTGAATCGAATGACGCCCTTCCAAGGCGACACCTTCAGGAGCACCATATCCCCGACCTGGAACTCCAAGTCCGATCGACGCTTGTCGGCATAACTTTTCTGCCGACTCTGAGCAGTCTGAAGCCTGCTCCAAACCTGCTGGATCCTCTCCATAGTCTTGAGTACCACTTCGGTACTTCCCATGACTCTCTGTCCGACCTCTCCCCAGCATATGGGAGTCTAGCACTTCCTCCCATAAAACATGTCGAAAGGAGGACATTATTGATTATAAAATACATATACCCTTTCATATGTTGATATTAATTCAGCAGCAGATATTTTCAGAAGATTTCTTACTTCACGATCAAACATTGTAAGACTCACCACTCCAACTAAACCTTGAACTCGAACTTTGATCATGTAACTTGAAAAATATATATCTATAAATATAAATTTGTAACATTAAAAATAAATATAAAATTATTGAATAATAATATATTAAGTTTTTATTTGTTACATACCTTGGTTCAGCAATAACATCTGTGCCATTGCAATCTTTTTTTGGATAAAACATCATCTTTTTCTCTTCAAACCGGTCCAAGCCATTGACCGTCTCATTTGGAACATCCATTAAAATAACCTTTGACTTGGATTTTGTACACGCATTATAGTACCAATTCCGCATATCTTCAAACATCTTTATTGTTCCAAGAATTACTGCACAACTTCCCTATGATAGTAGGTGTATTTAGAGTTGGTTAATATTTTAGTATTGGATTAATTAAATTAATAGGGGGATCAATTATGTACCTCATTCAATTCGTGAATCGCGGATATTTTGTAAAGGGCGTTCTTTTGAACAAAATCATCATGTAGTGAATACATGATCGATGATCCGGATGCACGTGAGACCGAAGAACACGAAGAGTTTTTTCTTGCTTGTAAACTATTATTTTAGCATTTAATAATTATTATATATAAAAAATATGAAATGAGAAATATTGAATTGAAATGAGAAATATTGAATTGAAATGAGAAATCATTTGGAAAATTCATGACACCTTTTTTTGAAAGCAGTTATCTCCTCAATGTCGTCCTCAATAAAAAGCTTTGTAGCCAAGTACATTTTGTTGACATATGGACGCTCTGAAATGGAAATTTTAATTTTTGTATCAATGTTAATAATTTCATAAAACCAAAATTTTAAGAATATAAATATTACAAATTAGTATCATGGTAAATACGTACGTCGGATATTCTTGAACTTAGCAAGTTGAATAATCATTACAAAATGACAATGATGCTTTGAAACATATGCAACAATTTCATCAGCATAACCTCCCCATAGAGTAACAAAAACTTCATGTCCTCTGTAAAAAGAAATAAAATTAAAAAACAAAGCATCATTAGAATAATAAAAATATGTATAAAGAATGAAACTCACTCTAAATCCTCCATTTTTAGTGTGATTTTTTGCTCCTGTTTGTCTTTTGGAGGTTCCAATGGAAAACATTGGAAAACGTTTCCTATAATATCTATATTATAGACAACGAAAAGTGTAAGGATGTATCTGTTATGGTGTAAAAAATTAAATTTAGATAATTCAATCATTAACAAAGGGATTTGAGGGAATACACTAACCAAATGACTGTGGGGCCCACAAAAGTCTTTGCATCTAATAACCTTAGTGCTATATTGGAAATAGAGTTTATGTGGTCCATCAACAAACTTTATAGCACCATTATTTAACCCTATTGTGGGTTTTTGAATGTAGTAATCACCATATTCTTCCAAAGTTTTTCCTTGCAATGATGCAAATGGTTTATGCACATTACATTCAATTTTGGAGCCCTATAAATAGATGAAAAAATATAATAATAAGTTATACCACACATAAAAATAATCATAACTTAACTTGTATAAATTAATAATATTAAAAATAAAAAACTAAAAAAAATCCAAAATACCATTTCGTCCATCAATATCATTCCAATCATACGAATCTGTTTCCACAGACAAATGACTCGAACCTTGATCGTGTAGTCATCTTGTGCAAGTGCCAAGTCACTGATCATGGTAAGATTGGTGTTTTCCATTAACCTGTAAACCAAATGTAGTAACGAAGATCAGTTGTTATATAACACAAAAGTATGATAAATAAATGATAAAAATAATTTTCAAAAGCATGATGACGAAGTATAAAGATTACTACAAACAATGTTAAAAACACGATGATAACTGACCATTAGCAACTACCACGATGCATTAGCAACTAACATTATGTTATAAAGAAACACAAAGAAAACAATATTGTTGTTTAGTAAAAGCTATCACAAATAAACAACCAAAACCCAATTCCCTTATTTAATTAAAAAAGTAAAAGATAACAGGAATGAATATTCATAGTTTACCAAACACAAAATTTCGAAATCCAAAATAATATAATAATGGCTTGGAAGAGCTGGTGTTCAACAACCTTGATGCTGGTGCTACAAAGGTAATCCAAGTTCATAGATATATCGTATGCATAATATAGTCGACATAATTGATTAAGTCAACAATTGCTCTTTCAGGTGATTGTAGCAGTAGGTCTTGGGACCAACTACATTAAAGTTACAGACAATGGTAATTAACCTTAATTCCACAATAAAATCCAAAATAATATAATAATGGCTTGGAATTTCCTTTTGATCCAATAACAAAATCTGGTTTCCAGATCATCAAAAAGATTCACAGTGACAGGTAGGATATGGATCCTCTGGAATGGAATCATAATCATTGAGAATATACAAAACAAAATGGATAAAGTCTGGGATTCCCAAATCATTGAAATTAAATCCTACAGGCACAAAATCTAGTATTTGGTATTATTATAATATAAAAAAGCAAGTATGTTATTATTATAAAATAAAAAAGCAATTACACAATAAATTAATAAAAAATAACTATTGACATGTTGCAAACCCCCCGTTTAGCATAAATTTTGAATCAAATTCCAATTTACATAAAACGATCGAACTTTTTGAAAGATATGTGAAACCAAACAGAGAACAAAAATATGAGCTTCTATTTTAGTCCTTTATACTGCATTCTAATTTTTTTTTAAAGATATGTAAAACCAAACAGAGAACAAAAATAATTTCATACAATTCGACCATATCACAGTTGCAGCATGGTGTGTGACAGGAAAAAAAAAACTTCTTTGAGGCATTTAATCGAACAGCTTATATGCAAGGAAAAAAAACTTCTTTTAGGCATTTAATCGAACAGCTTATATGCAATGAAACATGAGTAAATTATTAGTACATAAATGTATATACAATTCGACCATATCATGGAAAGGAGAAGCGGAAAACATGAAATGTTCAAATAAAAAAGAATCAAATCATTTTCGTGATGGTTAAACTAATTGTATCGATCATAACATATGCTAACCTGATGTAGTAGATAATTTTGATAATGGACTCTGATGATGAACTTGGTAATGCTGTAAATCTTCAATCTCTCAATAAACGGCGACATATGATTGAGATTGTAGCTGTATATATTTTTCAAAATTGAATTTGGAAAGGATATGAAGAATAGCTGTGAATGAATTGAAATTTGATAAGTTCCTACAAATAAGAATCAATTTGAGTGGTGATTTCCGACAGTTGTGTATGTAATTTAGGAAGATATATTTGGATTTAATGTATTCATTGACAAAAATCGGGAGGAGATATTCAGTGATATTCAGGTTTCCTTTATTTGTATAAGATGCAGTAATTGTATACGATGCGGTAAATAGTTGACATTTTTTAATTTGATAAAAAACCAAAAAATCCACAATTTGCCAAGTGGAATTAAATTGAATTGAAAAAATAAAAAAATGCCATGTGGCATATTGAATAAGGAGGTGACATGTGGCAGAAAACTTTTATTCATTAAGGGAGATTTTATAAAAATATGGGTTTACACATGAAATTTACTACAATATAGACATCTAAATGATCCAAATTTTACACGAACGCTTTATATGAACTTCATTTTTTTTATAAAAATACCAATTTTATATAAAAACTAACTTACAATTTTTGTGTATTTACATTTTTGACCATAATTTATCAATTTACTAACAAATTAGGTCAATTTTCATACTTAACAACATGTAACCATTTTTGGCTATTATTATTTTGTTTGAGTTATGATTTAGAACTAATGATGTTTTGTCACACCCCCAAACCGGAACGGCGGAAACGTTCGGGGGCGGAGGACGTCATGTTAAGTATCAGAACACATGCATCATAGTAATCAAAGTAACAACAACCATCGTATTAATAATATAAAGTTTACATTATGTTCAAAACATTTCATGATTTACATTATAACAAAAGATAACACGTAATGCTCCGTCTTTGCGACACTCTAGAGGGTACATGTCTACTAACGTTCCTGACAATACAAGTGGTTTGAAAAAGTGTCAACATTAAAGTTGGTGAGTTCATAAGTATTTTTGTTATAAAAAGTATAATCTTTGTTTTTTGAAAAAGTTCGCTTGTTCCTCCGGAAAATCCTATATTTTCTTAATGACTAATATGACCGTACCCGTTCCTTCTGTGATCATTTAGTGAATACAAATTATATATAATACAAATCGAATAGACAGTTGCATGTGTGAATCTGTCCTAAGCCCACAACCAAACAAGGAACAACAAATGAGGCGGAAGTCACGCATTCCACTATCCATCGGATCTTCATTATATATAATTCTATCGTATTCACCAAGTAATCACAGAATTAACATTAATGATTCTTTTTGATATGATGAATGTGTTTCCTTCAGAAAATCCTATATTTTCTTTAGTAGAATGGTAGCCACAATAGTTCCTTCTACAATCATTTAGTTTATACTAGCTATATATAACCTAATATCGAACGGACAGTTGAATGTGTGAATCTGCCTTAAGCCCACAACCAAACAAGGAACAGGAAGTAAGGCGGAAATCACACATTCCATTGCCTATCGGATATTATATATATATAACTGTGATGTATAAACTAAGTAATTATAGAATTACCCATTAAAGGTCCTTTATGTTATACTAGTTGGTAAATAAGTGTTGAACCTTTAGTAAATATGTTCCTAGTTCCACTTACTCTATTGTAAAAAATTGTTTTCAGTAGTAAATGTTATTGTTTTCAGAAAGTTAAATCGAAAACTGTTTACCTTTATAAATAACGATTTTTATCATCGAAAATCCTATATTTTCTATAAAACCGATTTGTAGTCTTAATCGTTCGAATACCGAAAAGCACAAGTATAATTACCATACTTAGTTTAATGATACCTAGTTTTATTTATAAGAACACCTAGCTGAAGATGTGTTTGCCTGGAAAACTCAATGTGACGATACTACCATCCTATTATCACTTAGTACCTACGAGTTTTATATAACCGATATCGAACAGACAGTTGAATGGGTGAATCTGCCCTAAGCCCACAACCAAACAAGGAACAGGAAATGAGGCGGAAGTCACACATTCCACTGTCTATCGGACTTCAATTTTATATAACCCTATTATATATACTGAGTAATCATATATTTGATATCCCTTGAAACTGTTTAAGAAAAAGTATATTACTACGTAAAATATATCGTTGTTTTCTCCTTGTGCGTTCTTATAACCATACTAATATGACGGATATCCTGATACGATGTGAATCAATCGTCAATATAAAAAAGGAAGTTTGTCACCCAGAACGACTATAAATAATAGTCACGACGTGGGATTGTAACACCCGTATAGATCTATACACAAACTCATGCTCTCCCTCCAGGAGACTCTGGTTCATAAGGCTAGACTTACCTTGGTACTTAGGTAAGTACACGAACACATGTCTCACAATTAGCTTCAACGAATTTATAAGTAATAATGCAAAAACCATTTTATAAATAACAAGTAATTTTTTAAAAAGATCCTTTATTCCATAAACTATACTTATTATAGTTTATAAGTTTATTTCCATGTTTTAATCTGGACTTTGTAAAATAGTTCATATGATCCATAAACTATACCTATTATAGTTTATAAGTTTATTTCCATGTTTTAACAAGTTTCACATTTAAATGGTAAGAAAAAACATAAAAATAAAATTATATTTTTAAACACAAAATTTCTTGTGTTTTACTTGTATTCTCCCCTTATGTGTGGTAATGGTTTTGAATACGGAATAGAAACAGTGACCTTCGGGCTAGATTACAGGAATGATGTCGTATTCCTGATAGTTCTAAACACATAATAATATGTGTGAATAAGATGATCTTTGAAATATAAGTGTTTCATAAACACTAAATAATAAGTATAATACTTACTTAAGCTTGTAACTATGTTAAGTTGAAGATCTCCTGGAGCTTGAAATAGAAAGGATGGAGGAAATGGGTTTGATACTTGAGAGAGAATTGTGAGGAAATAGTTTACTAAATGTGAGAAGTGTAACATATGATCTCTATTTTTTATCTTAAGTATGAAGGAAGTCCTTAAGGCGGTGGATGTAAGGTTTACAGAGGTTATCACATTGGGAAGCTAAATTGGATAAATATCTTGATATTTAAGAGGGTGTTTTTGGATTTAAAGCTTCTAGAATTGGTGTTTACGCCCTTAAAAGGCTTTGGGTTGTGTTCACAAACATACTTTGGCCGTGAACACTTTTGATCATCAAATTCAAACCGTGAACTCCATTAATTCAAACTTTAAGGCCGTGAAGTACATTTATTGATTCATTTTCCAACCGTGAACTCTTGTGGTGAATTGATTTCAATCGTGAACTCCATTTGGCATTAATTCCCTTTAATTACTTTGGGTGAAAACTCATTTAATGAGGGTTATTTATGTTTTAAACCCCTAGACTTTTAACTTATGCTCATTTATAACACTCTAATTTAGTTTAAGTTTTCAATCCATACCTCTTGGTTTAATCTTTAAACAAGCCCAAAGGCTATAGATGATAAAATGCTACAGGGATTGCAATGTGGTTTCACTTGTACTTGGTTAGGGTTCATGCTTTAATTGATCTAAAAATTTCGAGTTGTGACATCATCCCCCCGTTAGAGGGAAT